AGAATGTTTCTTAATAAAAAATATGAAACAATTATGAAAGAATTCTTCTTAATTATTTCTTAATAACATCTTTGAATATTATTAAGAATGTTTCCAAATTTGAATGTGATAATCATTTAATGAGTAAAACAATATATTGTCGATCAAAAACATAATTTTTCTCTCTATTTATATTAACTTTTCAAGAAATTTGTATTAATGATATATAATTAGAAAATGAAATTAATTGAAAATAATTAAACTGGAATATAACACAATTAAAGTTAAAAACGCTCTCGAGTGTGTATACCGTGCAATGGGTGCACGGTGAGCACCATACACCCATTGGATATTATTTTCTCTTTTTTAAAAAAAATGGTAATAACTTTTTTATTTTTGATCCGATTTTTATAAAATTTATATCAACATTTTTTATTTTTCATGATCTTTCAAATGAGACCAATATTGCCTATGTAATTTTAACATATTAACATTTGCGTGTAAAATATGTAACTTTACGTCTTAAAATATGTAACTCACGTTAAGTCAGACCAAATGCAACTCGTGTGTATAAATATGTATCTCTACGTGTAACAATATGTAACTTTACGTAAAAAAATATGTAACTCGCGTTCAGACAGGTCAAATGCAACTCGTGTGTATAAATATGTAACTCGCGTGTATAAATATGTAACTTTACGTGTAAAAATATGTAACTTTACGTGTAAATATATGTAAGTCGCGTTCAGGCATGTCAAATGCAACTCGTGTGTATATATATGTAACTCGTTTATAAAAAGATGTAACTTGCTTATAAAAAGAAGTAACTCGCTTATAAAAAGATGTAATTTGCTTATAAAAAGATGTAACTCACTCATAATTCATAAAAAGATGTAACTCAATGTATTATCAAATGTAACCGAGGTCACTGATCCACTCCCAAACAGATTCGATCTTCTATTTCACAAACTTATCATCTCCCAAACAGATTCGATTTTCCTTATAATCCAATACTCATTAATATAATAGTTCGATAATTTCTTAAAATTACATAAGCAATATTGGTCTCATTTGAAAGATCATGAAAAATAAAAAATGTTGATATAAATTTTATAAAAATCGGATCAAAAATAAAAAAGTTATTATCATTTTTTAACAACAAAAGCAAAAAAAACAGCATATTGCGTCGTTTTGCAACCGGGCGCACCATCCTCATGGTGCGCCGGTTGCACGGTATAATTTGACATCTCACTGCTTAAAGAATTGAACTCTAAAAATTAATCTAGAGCGAAATAATGATACTACGTATATGAAATCTAATCAAAGAGGCAACTAACCAGAAAAAGTATCAAACTTTTTTTTTGAATAAAATTTAAAAAATAAAAGTCTTAAAAAAGATTAGGAGAAGTGCACTATATTGGTTTTTTTGAACAAATACAATTAATTAATTTATCATTGTTATTCTTTTAGATACCTATCATCCTTATGATGGTCGTCCGGCTAATTTTCTCTAACACGTTATAGTTTATAATTTCATCATAATTTACTTCCTAAATGATGTGGATATTTAATCTGCAATTTTAAATTGTCCTAAAGTTTTAAATAGAATAATTCAATTTTCATAAACTTTACACGTAACTCTAAGAAGGAATGTCATTACAATAACTTATTCAATCACAGTTTGCTTTTCATGGAGTCGTGGATCTAATGAGTGACCAACCTTGCACGTAAAGACCAACTTTGCCTTTTGTTTCAGACTCTTCAATGGTATCATATTGCACCATGGAAGACGGGTGAGGAATCAACATTATTTTAGTATGAGAATTATGTGATTATATTGGTGAATTGTGGTGTTACTATGTATTTGTTAATTATTTATAGGCTTTAGGGAGGATGAAAGCAAGGAGAGTTGTAATGCAATTTGGAAGTGTCTACATTTTAAATCGATCGTATCCGTAAGAGTCTTATTCAGAGTTGAACTTCTTTGTACTACAATTAGATATATCTCCGGTTATATGTAGTATGATTGGATTGCCCGTAATAAGCGGAGGGTTGAAGAACATGAAGCTAATTTGTAGTGTATGATTAATTTTATCTATCTGATTATTCTACCCATTAACTATTATCTGTCACATTAAATTGAATGTTTTAATTGAGTAGTTGTTAACCAATAAGGGAGTGACATGCCAGCTTTTTAAAATTGAGTTTTACTATGAGCATGTTTGGTAGGCATAAGTCACTACCTTCTAGCTTTTATACTTTTTAAAAAGTATTTAAAAACTTCTAGTTGTATGTTTGGCATGTCAAGTTTTAAAAGCTTTTTTTGAGATGCTACAGTGAGTAGCATCTGAAAAAAGTATGTAGCTTTCAACATTAATTAGTTCTAACAGCTTGTATATTAAACAGAACTAAATCAAGTAGTCAGTTTTTTATTAAACAGCTATCACATTTTTTTTTAAAGATCTTTTTAGTCACTAAAAGTTAATAGTTACTAAAAAACTCATAAAATTATCTTTTCATCTAGTTGTGCCAAACATACCCTGCAAATTGGGCATAAGTTTTTCATTTAGCGTAAGTGTAGTTCATTGACACTATTGTGTCATCAAATAATGACTCATATTTGTTAGAAATCTCATGTGTCGTTCTTTTGTGACACTATTACAAAAAGTGTCATTAAAAAGTGTCATTGTAAACCAATTTTCTAGTATAGATTGATTTTTTTGAAATTATTTCCCCAATTCCCAAAATATCGTTTTGGTAGAGCGAAAAACAAGCACCTCAACCATTTTTTGAAAGTTCTTGCCGAATTGAAAATTTATATGCAAAAGTAGGGATGGACCCGGGCCGGGCCGGGGCCGGGCGGACTTTTTTTTCAAATTGTTGAGCCCGGAACCGGCCCAGGTTGATACCGGGTCCAGGCCAGGCCGGGCCCGGGTCAAGGTAATTTTTTTTTTGCTTTCTAATTAACCACTGACCCCCCCTTCAACCCCCACCCCAACCCCCCCCCCCCCCCAAAACACCCAGCCCTAACCAAGAAAAACAAAAAAAATTGAAAACACCAAAAATAAAAAATAAAAAAAGCCCGGGCCCGGCCCGAAACGCCCGGGCCGGTTCAACAAATACAAGGCTCGAGCCCGGTCCGCCCAACCCTCCCCAACCGGGTAAAAGCCCAGGCCCAGTTAGCACCAACTGGGCTGGTCCGGGCCTGCACAATGGCGGGCCGGGCCGGTTCCGGGCCGGGCCGAACCGGTTGGGTCCACCCCTATGCAAAAGGGAAGCAGAGGTAGGTGACAACCGACAACTATATAAAACTGTTGTTTTCAAAACTATAAAAGGAAAACTTTATTTAATTCGTGAAACAATGCATATGAAAGAATAATCACATATTATAGTTAGTTGTGTTTACGTATTTTTTTAAAATCAGTGTTTGTCCAGTAGATTATACGTAGTATATAAATAGATCATGGAACAAATATATACTACTCCTATATCAATTAGTCATTTCTCACATTTGAAAAAGAGAGAAATTCGTAAATAAGAGTAAAATATGGTAGACTTCCTTATACAAGAGCCTCGTCTAGAAAATGATTCGTTCACCTCTTTTTTGGAAAGTTTGTATTATTTTATTGTTTTAATATAAATAAATGAATTCCTACATTTAGAATAAAATATTTAAATATTTAACTTGTATCATGGATCCACTCATACACGTACAAGACCCAGATCGACCGTATATTATATCACTAGGTTTCAAGCACGTGCGATGCACGAGCGGCATGTAATTTATCTAATTTAAAATTTGATTCGTTTTCGGAATCATATATAATGTGACACAAAAGCAAAATAAACTCAATCTAAATATAGAGCCCATTTGATAATACTAATATTGGTGGAATCGATTTATTTTGCTGAAATTAATTAAATTCTAACTGAATAAGTTGAATAGGTGAATATCTCGAATCATGAAAAAAAATATTCCATTTGTTAAATGAATAAAAACTATATGAAAAATAATATAAATGGTCTTCTACATAAGCTTCTCTACTAAGCATAATTGTTATGAACCCGATTTTAAAGAATTCATAGAGAAGCTTCTTAATTATTTTCATGTCCTTTAAATTGCTTTATTATGCACCTCAAAATATATTTTTTAATATTCCTCATTCAACTTGGTATGAAATATGGAGTACATACTTTTAATAGTAAGATTTTACATTTTACTTATTATTTCATCACATTGAAAACGTCATTAATAGAGACGTTTTTAATTGAATTGAAATTTTCAGCTTTGATTTGATCTAAAGTAATATGATCTGGTAGATTTCTATTTTACATTTTATGTGTCCAATTATTATTAAAGTTTGATCTGATCTGATTTAGTCTGAGACAGAAATCAATCTAATTAAAAACATCTTAAGAGTAAACAAAATTAGGAATTTGTAAACATATAAAGATTTCCTAATTTAGATTAGGAATTGATCTATTTCAAAAGTGACGGAATCTAGAGTCATTTGTTTCCATATCAATATGCAATCAAAAATAGAATCCAATAAAAATAACAAAAAATCTATTTGTACACGTTCTTATACACGTTTGTATACACGTTCTATCCAATTTTTTTTGTCTGTGACAGACGTTCACAGACAAAAAATATGACCCGCCACAGACAAAAAATATGACCCGCCACAGACAAGTGTATAAAAACGTGTATAAGAACATGTACAAGTAGAATAGTTGTAAAAATAAAAGGTAGGGAGTATAAAAAAAACTAAATAATTGTTATATATGATGGAAGACATGGCAGGATTATGTGGCGCTTTGTATGCTCTTAAAAAGTTCCTCTTTTATATATATATATATATATATATATACACATATATATATATATATATATATATATATATATATATATATATATATATATATATATATATTGATTTCTAGCAAAACTTTAAACTAAACACAAACAAATTGGATTGGTAACAATCTACTCTTCCAAAAAAAGTCCACCTATCATTCAAATTTTTCAATCAAGTAGAAACACACAACAAACCTAAGAAAACTATTTTAGGGCGATACTAAAATTGTCACTTGCATGTTTTCACTTTCAAGTACATCATGCTGTCACAGGGGCTGACAAATGTATAGTTGTGGTTGTGTAAGAAAAAGGTGAAATTAATGTAAACCACACAAATTGTCCAAAAGTGGTAAGTGCGAAGAATTTTATGGCACGGATGGAGTATAAACTACTACTATAACACCAAGCATATATTTTTTTAGGTACATCATGCCATCAATATTCCAACAAAATTATCAAAACTGTTCATCACATAATCACATGCAATTGATTAATGCCAACTGCGGGTCTGAGATTCTGAGATATCACCCTTGCACCCAATTTAGTGATTTTGCAGTCTGGACAAAAAGGCTAGCGATATACTATGTGCATGTAAAAAAACATCACCTAAAAGGGCATCTTGGAATGCCATAATGCTGACAGCACAAGGAAGCCTGAAAACATAGCTCTCCAGCAAGAATTTGTCCAAGTCTTATGACCTCTTCCTCCAGGAAGAGGGTGAAAGGGCCTGTGTCTCTTTGAATGCAGGACACATGTCCCTTATGGTGCATATTCCACAGCGGGGCCTCAAAGGTGTACATACAGTCTGCCCAAATCCAACCTGTCAACAATTGTCAAGCCTTGAGTTCTCATATGCTCTCTTCGGAAGAAACCAAACGAGGCAAAAGGAAACAACATAAATATAATCCAAATCAATACATGAAAATTTTCTACTTAATACTTATTTATGTGGAACTAAGGATAGTGAACTGCAATCCTTATTTAATAACATATAATGTGGGGACTTGTCCATTAGGCTGACTATGGTATACCATAGCTAGAGTTGGGCAATGAAAAACACAGTTCAGTGTTCCATCATCATTACCGTCACATCAATCCCCACTAGTTATGGTCCGTAGCATCAATTTATGGTGTCAATTAATCATATAAAATCAACTAACAATATCAATTCATGCAAACAAACGTAGAGGCAGTGTTTTTAAGCAGGATGCCCTTCCTGTTGCAAACGTTTAAGCTAGAGTTGGGCAATGAAAAACACAGTTCAGTATTCCATCATCATTACCGTCACATCAATCCCCACTACTTCTGGTCCGTGGCATCAATTTATGGTGTCAATTAATCATATTAAATCAACTAACAATATCAATTCATGCAGACAAACGTAGAGGCAGTGTTTTTAAGCAGGATGCCCTTCATGTTGCAAACGTATAAGGTACATTCAACGGAAAAACTAAACCCACCATCATCATAGGTTACTTCTGCATGCACGGTGACAATTCAGTCATTGCAAGACATTATTCAAAACACATACATATTGGCTCTGTATGCATCCATGTGCTAGGCTTTAGAACAAAAATACAGTTGAAAGTCATAAGCTCAATTAATATACTTGAGCTAAAATCCAAAGAGCACTCTGAACCACCTCTGTTATTTTATGTGTTTGTTAATTAAATAATAAGAAATTGCCCTAAATAAGAGTAAAAACGTTTGTAAATTTCCAAAATAGGACTATCATGTTGTTATTCCTTAAATAGGAGTAAATATTGTCATGTTTTGGAACTATCAAACTTTAAACATGGCAGTATCTTCCAAGCTTGGTAGTTGTTACTCCTATTTAGGGGAAAAAACATGACAGTCCTATTTTGAAATTTCAAAACGTTTTTAATCCTATTTCAGGAATTTTCCCTTAAATAAATGAAGGCATGTCCAGAAAACAAATTCAATATAAGCACATATTAACTTTTATGAGTTCCAAATAGATTGATGTATAGTACATACCAAAAGAGGATTGATTGGATCCCATTCTTCCTTTGGAAGCCATAGCTGCAGGGACTTCCTAGTCTCCTCAGGAGTCCTAGTTTTCTATATTACAAAAAGTAAAAATCTTATTACCATTTAAATATACTTTGTGTTATGTAATTATGTAGATGTCCATTACACTATCTGGCCCGTATGTATTGCAAGGGTCCAGTCCGTATTACATGCAGCCCTACCCCTCTTTCCCCTTGTATATATATGTCTCATATATGTTAATGAAAGAGATATAGAATCCTTATTCTTTAACACTTTATCAGCACGATTTCTCTCTGTCAAGCCTCTCTCGGATTGATGCTCCCCCCGACGAGAGATTGATCTATGCTAGGCCTTCTACCGCAAAAGAAGCAGATGGCCGCTATCGACCACCATCCTCCCATTTGCGTTCATCTTCTCTGCCTGCCTATATCATCCCAGGTACTTTGCTCTCATATTCCCCCGACTATGAAAACCTTCTGTTAATCCTCTTGGTTTGGGTCAGTACATGGTTAAAGACAACTAATCTGATTCACAAAGAAAATTAGCAAAAGAAAATGGTAAAATTTGTCATTTCTCCTTCTATTTCTTGAACCTATTTTCTTAGACCGAATTCAGAGGCGAAGAGTTAGAAGGGTAGACGCTAGAGCGCGGCTGTACAAAGCCAATTATAAAACCTGGGAATGGGCTCCCTAAAAAAAATTACTCCATCGTAACTAATCCCATCGATTTTACTGTTGATCTGAGTGATAAATTTACTACTTTCATGAAACTTGAGATTTTGTAAGTTGGAATTGTTGTGGAGGTGTTGTTGTTTGAACTTTATTATTCTAATTAGTGTTCTGTTTTTTTAAATCAAATTAGTCAAGTATTACTATACACCATATGTTAATTTCGACTTAACATTTTCAGCGGCTAATGGTTTGAATGGGTTAATTTGTTGGGATTAATTAATTAATCTTAATTAGTTTACTTCCTAGGGAACATAAATTATCTTTCCCTACTTTTATTGGAAAGATGAAAGGTCTTCTTGGAAAGGTAAATTGTATTTCCTAGGGATTATTTTACTCCACTTGTAATGCCTATATAAGGCCACCAATTGTAATGTTCTATCAAGTGGAATATAATACATTCTCCTCCATTCCTTTGAGTTATAAGTTAGCCAAACACTTAGAATATTTTCGGATATTTGGGGCCTTCAAATTGGTATCAGAGCCACTGTTGAAGAAGAAGATGGCAGCCACCATGTTCGGCCAACTACCTCAATTGAAGAAAGCAAACTTCGACCGATGGAATGCTCAAATGAGAGCACTGTTGAAGTCACAAGGAGTATGGGATGTTGTCGATAATGGCTACACAACACCGGAGGAAGGAACCGTCTTGACGGTTGCCCAACAAGTGGAACTCGAAGGAGCACAAAAGAAGGACCAAACGGCACTGTTTTGGTTGCTTCAAGCAGTGGATGACACCATCCACGAGAAGATAGCCGATGCCGAAACTTCAAAAGAAGCTTGGGACATCATCGAAAGAGTATTCAAAGGAGGGGAAAGAGTAAAGCAAGTGAGGTTGCAAACTCTACGAGGAGAGTTGGAGACTATGCGGATGAAAGAGAACGAGAAGGTCACCGAGTACATTAATCGGGTGATGACCATAGCAAACCATATGAAGAGAAATGGTGAAACCGTAAGTGAGAGTCAGATAGTAGAAAAAATTCTACGAACACTTACGGACAAATTCGAGAACGTGGTATGCGCAATCGAAGAAGCTAGAAATATTGAGACGCTTACCATTGACGACCTGTCGGGGTCGTTGGAGGCACATGAACAAAGAAAGATGAAGCGGCTAGAATCGCTTGAAGAGGCATTACAAACTATGGTGGTAGAGGAGAAGGCAATGTATGCCCATCACCCGAGAGGCCGAGGCCGAGGTCACTTCCGTGGTCGGGGCCAAGGAAGAGGAGACTACAACCGAGAGGAGAATACCCACCAGAACCGGGAGGACCAACATCGCCCGAACTGGAGAGGCCGAGGCAGAGGAGCTGCTCGAGGCGGTCGGGGAGGCAGACCCGATGGGGAATGCTACAATTGCGGGAAACGGGGACATTTCGCAAGAGACTGTTGGTCGAAACCAAAACCGGAGGAGAATCTAAATGTTGCTGAGCATGAGGATGATGATGGAGATGAGGAAGGAGTGCTCTTACTAGCACACAAAGAAGGAAGCTTAACAGACGACGCTACGTGGTACTCGGATACCGGGGCGAGCAACCACATGAGTGGTTATAAACATTTATTCACTGAGTTGAAGGAGGCTGAGGGAGGAAATGTATCTTTTGGAGATACATCAAAAGTAGTTATCAAAGGCCGAGGAAAGGTTAAATTTCTGCAAAAGAATGGACAAGAGGGGACGATTGAAAATGTACTCTATGTCCCGAGCATGAAGACAAATATCATAAGCATGGGACAGCTTATGGAGAAAGGGTATTCAGCCCGACCTAAGTGGTCGATACCTACACTTGAAGGATAGACGAGGCCGGGCCGTCGCCCGGGTAGAGATGGCCAAGAACAGAATGTACAAGTTGGACTTGAGAAGCGTAAACCATAAGTGCTTGAAAGTCGACCTGACGGACAAGTCACTATTATGGCACCTACGTTTCGGACATTTGAACTTTGGAGGATTAGCCGAGCTGAGCAAAAAGGGCTTGGTGCATGGACTACCCGAGATGGATTTTCCAAAGCAATTCTGTGAAAGCTGCGTACTTGGGAAACACACCCGGACGAGCTTTCAGAAGACTGCCAAGTACCGAGCCAAGGGAGCATTGGAGACAGTCCATACGGACATTTGTGGGCCGATCACGCCATCATCTTTCAGTGGGCGAAGGTACTTTATCACCTTTATTGATGACTACACCAGGAAGACTTGGGTATATTTTCTAAAAGAAAAATCGGAGGCCTTTAAAACATTCAAAAATTTCAAAGCCGAGGTGGAGAAGACAATCGGACTGAAGGTGAAAGCGTTGAGGTCAGACCGGGGGGGGGGGGGGGGAATACATTTCAGACTCTTTTACAAAGTTTTGTGAAGAGAAAGGAATTAGAAGATTCCTTACCGCCCCGTACTCGCCTCAACAGAACGGGGTGGCCGAGCGAAAAAACCGGAGCATTATGGACATGGTAAGATCCATGCTCAAGAGCAATAATATGCCAAAGCAATTTTGGGCTGAGGCGGTACGATGTGCGGTGTATGTACAGAACAGGTGTCCGCACTCAAATCTTGAAAATCTAACACCTCAAGAAGCATGGAGTGGTCAAAAGCCGACCGTGTCACGCTTGAGGGTGTTTGGGAGTATCTCTTACGCACATGTGCCCGATCAGAGACGGACAAAATTGGAAGACAAAAGCAAGAAGCTTGTCTTCATTGGCTATGATGAGAAGACAAAGGGATACAGACTATATGATCCCGAGGAGAAAAAGATCACAGTGAGCAGAGATGTAGAGATAAATGAAAAAGGAAGCTGGGATTGGAACACAGAGAAGGAGTACGTCCCGGACGGGACCTCAAATAACGAGGACGTCCTGGACGGTACCTCAAATGACGAAGAGACCCCGGGCAGGACCGCAATTCCAATCCCGCTCGGGATGACACCAGAACCAATCGGGGCGGGATCTATGACGACCCCGGGGGACGAGGAAGAAGAAGAAGGGACGAGCCGGCAAAGGTACAGAAACATACAGGACATATATGAAGCAGCTCCAGAGGTTCACATGGTATGTCTTCTAGCCGATGGGGAGGATATTACTTTTGAAGAAGCCAAGCACGATGAAAAATTGAGAGATGCCATGAACGAAGAAATAAAAGCGATTGAGAAGAATCAGACCTGGGAACTTACCAATCTCCCGAGAGGTCATAAGCCGATCGGAGTCAAATGGGTGTATAAGAAGAAATGCAATGCTGAAGGTATGGTCGAGCGATACAAAGCTCGGCTTGTTGCAAAAGGTTACAAGCAAAAGGCTGGAATTGACTATGACGAGGTATTTGCTCCAGTAGCTCGGATGGATACAATTCGACTACTGATTGCATATGCTGCCCAGATGAAGTGGCCGATCGGTCAGATGGATGTAAAGTCAGCGTTCCTTAACGGAACTTTGGAAGAAGAAGTTTATGTTGAGCAACCAGCCGGGTACGTCCGAGTCGGGAACGAGAACAAAGTACCGAAACTAAAGAAAGCTCTGTATGGGTTGAAGCAGGCACCAAGGGCATGGAACACTCGAATTGATACATATTTCAAGCAGAGTGGCTTTCTACAATGTCCATATGAGCACGCACTCTACGTGAAGAAGAATGAGAATGGAGTCTTGTTTGTCGCCCTGTATGTGGACGACCTAATCTTTGTGGGAGACAACAGAAAAATGGTTAAAGATTTCAAGGAAGCGATGAAGAATGAATTTGAAATGACAGACTTGGGACTATTAAAATACTTCCTAGGCCTTGAGGTGAAGCAAGCTGAAGACGGAATATTTATTTCCCAAGAAGCCTATGCTTAGGAGATTCTGAAAAGGTTCAAAATGGAGGAATGCAAGCCGGTCAGGACTCCAATGGAGACTGGAACCAAACTTTCTAAGTTTGGGGGAGGAAATCAAGCTGACGCAGGCTTATATAGAAGTCTGGTCGGGTGTCTTAGGTACTTAACCTGTACGAGACCAGACCTGGCTTTCAGCGTTGGGGTTATCAATCGGTTCATGGAGGACCCGAGGGAATCTCACTGGAAGGCGATAAAGAGGATCATGAGATACATCCAAGGGACGAAGACGCACGGGCTATTGTACGGAAGGTCGGCCGAGCTCAATCTGGGAGATGTAAACGATCGAAAGAGTACCACCGGTTATGTTTTCAATCTGGGAAACACAGCTTTCACTTGGTTATCAAAGAAGCAACCGATTGTAACTTTGTCAACATGTGAAGCAGAGTATGTCGCAGCATCATACTGTGGAAGACACGCAGTTTGGGTGAGAAAGATGATGACCGCGCTGGAGCTCGGGAAGACGGAGCCGACTACGATTTGTGTTGACAACAAATCAGCAATAGAGCTTGCAAGGAATCCAGTCCACCATGAGAGGAGCAAGCATATTGAAGTTCGATTCCACTTCATCCGAGAGCAAGTGAAGAACAAAGAGGTCAGTCTAATTCACGTAGCGAGCCGGGATCAAGCAGCAGACATCTTCACAAAGGCATTGCCAATCGCAACCTTTGAGCATTGCAAGTTGGAGCTCGAAATGAGAGACCGAAGAGAATTAAGATTAGGGGAGGAATTTGTTGGGATTAATTAATTAATCTTAATTAGTTTACTTCCTAGGGAACATAAATTATCTTTCCCTACTTTTATTGGAAAGATGAAAGGTCTTCTTGGAAAGGTAAATTGTATTTCCTAGGGATTATTTTACTCCACTTGTAATGCCTATATAAGGCCACCAATTGTAATGTTCTATCAAGTGGAATATAATACATTCTCCTCCATTCCTTTGAGTTATAAGTTAGCCAAACACTTAGAATATTTTCGGATATTTGGGGCCTTCATAATTGTTGTTTTGTGTCCCATAGATATCATCTTGACTTAAAGTAATTCAATAATTTTGAATACCCATTCTTCATATTTGTATACTTTCTTTAAGACTAGTGCTAGGGAATAACCACACGTGAGTAAGTTGAGTTCATAGTATTGTGTATTAGCCAGTCCGATAGGTGCTTACTAGTTACCAACATACCATCCGATGCCCATGTGAGTACGTGACTATATATGTGAGAAAACAAAACTATGATTCCTTGTATATTTGTTAACTAGTAGATCGATGTACACTTCGATAAATGTATTGGGTATAATTAAGATGTATGTTACTCACAATGCCTTATGTATTCTTACATACGATTAAGAATTTTTTTTTTAAATAAAGATTTTAATGGCATTTAATAGTCAAAATCGGTTACAAAAGGACATTTACTTGTCCAATTAATGACAGTTATTAAATTTAATTGGTGTATATGTGAGAAAACAAAACTATGATTCCTTGTATATTTGTTAACTAGTAGATCGATGTACACTTCGATAAATGTATTGGGTATAATTAAGATGTATGTTACTCACAATGCCTTATGTATTCTTACATACGATTAAGAATTTTTTTTTAAATAAAGATTTTAATGGCATTTAATAGTCAAAATCGGTTACAAAAGGACATTTACTTGTCCAATTAATGACAGTTATTAAATTTAATTGGTGTATAATATCAATAATAAAGAATTTAATATTCAAACGTGTTGATTGTATCTTTGAGTGATACTCGTATGACACACTAAAGTTTTTTTAAGCAATTTTATTAAATGCGCGATCTCATGATGCATTAATTTTCGCAAGATTTTAAGAATCACATGTGAAAACAAAGTAATATTATTTTCTTATATAGTTATTTATATTTCAAATCTTGCGAAACTTGAATTCACTACCATCGACATTCGCAAGTTTTTGAGTGGTTCCTTGTGGCTCGTTTTTAGCTGACTCATAAAGACTACAAGATTTTAAGATTGTGGTTGCTTGCAACTCTTTAATGAGTTTTAGAAATATGAACTTCACTACTCCTAATTAGAATTTTCAGTGTTAAAGGTTTGGTGTTTAATTGAGAATACTCAATTATTAAATGTTTGATGTGCATATGAGCATTAACACAAAATTTGATGGTCTTGAAATACACATTGCAAAATCATGAGTTTAGACAATTGTTTCTACTTAGAAACTCTTGAACAATTTGGTTACTAATGTCCATCAAATCTATATAAATAATGATGGAGGTTTTGTATACTAAAGATTTTCATTAGCTCAAATTATATGGTGTTGATTGAGGTGAAACAATTAATTGGTCCAGAAGACCAAATTTTATTCTTTTTTTTGTGAGTAAAATATTTTTCCCAAAGGGTTTTTTCTTGGCCAAAGGTTTTAAGGTATTTTGTGGTTTTTAAAGAATGAGAAAGGTTCATAACATCCGGAAGATTATTATCCTCTAGAAGAGCGATTCTATTATTAGTTCGGGAGATAGTACCCTGAAAGTCTTGATTGGTCATTGTGCGATCGAACAATTTATTGGTCCGGAAGACCATATGCAACTGTACTCTTTTTCCATAACCAAGTTTTGTCCCATAGGATTTTCTTGGTCAAAGGTTTTAACGAGGCAGTTTGTGACTTTGAAATAACATATTATGATACATAAAAATCGGAGTATTATTTTTCTCCAGAAGAGTAAATTCAAATGCAATCCAGAAGATTAGGCCCCGAAGGCCAGTGACTGTACTCTTTTCTTTAACTAAGTATTTCCCACATGGTTTTATTAGTTAAAGGTTTTTAATGAGGCAGTCAATCCAACACATCGTTTTACATATATTATGTACTCTTTTCCTTGATTGATTTTTTCCCAAAGGGTTTTCCAACAAGGTTTTTAATGAGGCATACACATAGTACAATTTGTGCTACAAGAAGTCTTTGATCAGAATAGATTGGATTCTACAAGAAGTCTTGAAGTGATATAGTCAATAGGGGGAGCACATACACGCTGCACTCTTTTTCCCTTGACCAAGGTTTTGTCCCACTGGGTTTTCCTCGGCAAGGTTTTTAACGAGGCATCATTTTCAAGCGTATAAAGAGAATGATCACCTTTCGTAATTTTTTTAGTAATGTACATCTAAGGGGGAGTGTTATGTAATTATGTAGATGTACATTACACTATTTGGCCTGTATGTATTGTAAGGTTCCAGTCCGTATTACATGCAGCCCTACCCCTCTTTCCCCTTGTATATATATCTCATACTCCCTCCGTCCCGGAAGATTAGTCCCACTTTGACTTGGATAGGAGTTTAAGAAAGTGGGAATAAAGTGGAAATGTATGATTGTGGTTGAGTAAGAAAAAGGTAAATGAATGTTAGCCACACAAAACTTTCCAAAAAGGGAAATGGGAACAATTTTTTGGGACGGCCCAAAAAGGAAAATGGGACTTATTTTATGGGACGGAGGGAGTATATGTTAATGAAAGAGATATAGAATCTTTATTCTTTAACACTTTTTTTTATTACTATCTTATTTAAGTTGTGCTAACGTTATATGCTAAGATATTCCACCTATAAATTGCATTATCAACAAGTTGACAACTACAAATTTTATGACTGGCAACAGGTGTGGCGCATGAGAAATCGTTATTCTCTTCTTCTTTTTTTACTTGACCACATTAGTAGCAGATGAGCTCGTATTGTCACATAGCAGTCAGTGAGAAATTGTATAAAGAGAACTTGTTTCAAGATAGTCAATCAGGCTAAGGTGCTAAACTCGGTACAAGGTGATATAGTAACCGGTAAATACTATGTCGATCCCAAGGAAACAAATGTTTTGTCAAGTAAGAGTTTAAGAATAATTTATGAAGTTGATATAAAAACACAGGGTCTTTTTTTAAATTTATCTGTATGAATAAAATGAACAAAGCATTGAGATTTCACCTGAATGTATATAGTCATGTGCTTTTTATCATTTTTATGAGTAAAAAATGTGGCAAAATATTCTCGACTCTTGTTATATGAAAACATATATTCTCCACTATATAATCTATATACGCAGTGAGAGTGAGTTTTCTCTACATATGAAAACATATGTTTTCTTATGGATAAACCCGCCCGTAAATGCCTTTGATTAATAGGTACTTTGAAAGTCTTACATTTGCGAATTAAGCCCGATCAACTACTTTCCGTATGGAGTACCGTAATAATACTAAGCATCACAAATAAAGTTTTTCACAATGCATTTGGGTGTATATTTGTAAGATTGTTGTTGTATTGTGACTACCATAGATAGAATATCAGATTACACTTCTTTACTTTGTGTGCCCCACTGCCTCTATACAGTATAGTTTCACTATTTAGTGGTGGAATGTGTTAAAAATGCAACAAGCTAGAACTTTTTATCGAGGTGCAAAAAAAGTTCTTGGATGACTTTCACTTTTTCAGAACATTTTATATTAAAGATCATTCCTGAAACAGAATATCAAGGCAGATAAAAATGTTACCTGTTTTGTCCCTGTGCGTGACACCCATCCTAGGCGATTACATATACGGTGCACATGAGTATCTACACATATCCCTTGAACATTATTCCATCCGACATTCATAACCTGACTCCCGTGAACATTATTCAAATACTTCAGAAACACACAAATCTCATGAGAAATAAAATAAGATAAATCCTTACAAGATGAGCCATCTTAGGACCAATCCCTGGCAGTAGAATCAACTCATCCAATGTTGTGGGGATGTCTCCATCGTATTTTGAGAGGCAAATTTTAGCAATTTTCTTCAAGTTGCTAGCCTTTCTCGTATAAAAACCAACCTAGTAAGCAAAGAAGTTGTGCAAACTGCCATTTTAAAATTATGGCAAGCAAAAACCCAAAGATAGCAGCATGTTGACAATGTGGGGGTTTGTGTGAAAGTGGTAAAAGTTCTTGAACTTCAAATTCTTTGCCCCAACTGTCACCCATTCAAATCAAGAAAACCAGCTGTGGCTGCAAAAATGCAAAACAATTCACCAGAGTACTTACAGGGTATATAAGGCTTTTGATGGTGGCTTCATCAGCTTTGTCTATTGCATCTGCAGTAAGCAAACAATTTTGAAGAAGACGCTGGATGGCTCCTGCAACATCAGAAGTGCTCACACACACATATTGGTTCAAATCACAATGACATCTTCTTAGGAGAGAAATGATACTGCTAGATTCAAAATATAAAAGGCTCTAAAAAGGGCAAACAATCCACAAAAAGTTTATCAAAATGTGGTGGCAGTTTTTTGTTTAAATCAAGCTTTTTCTGAAAAGTGAAAAGTGCACTGTTTGAAGCGCATAAGTACAATGTGATGACCAAGAAAATGCATCTTTTGCTTCACATCGGAAGTGCCATTCTCAAACGAACAGCACTCTATAAGTACATACATATACCACACTAATGAAACCACAAGTTTAATTACTAGCATATAAAGCGGTGTGCCATGTGCCGTATGCCATTGGTTTATCAGAACAAAGTGCTTTCAGAAGATTGTGTTCACAAGATTGGTTTACAAGTGTACTTCCTTAGTTCCTTCTATGCAGTGTTTTTAATCACTTTCAGAAGCAATAAAGTGGCAGATGACATCAATCACTCACTCCATATAGCAAGGATCCAAGCAGACATCTTTGACATACAGAGAGGGAAGACACTAGCCAATGGGGGGCGTAGGGAGGGATAAAGAGGCTACTGGCTACTGGAGTGCAATAAACAGGTAGTTTTAGGTAGGACTTGTCGGTCTTAAGTGCCTAGTTATATGATGCACATTGCTAAGCATCACAATATCAAAAAAAGGATTGAAAACGTTACATGGTTTATAAATTAAGTTATCTGTGACATGAGGGAAGCCAAGTAGTCAACAAATGACCATATAGAATTTCCATAAAATACTAACAGATACAAAGAATCAACTTTGACTAAAAAGTCTAAATTATTATATTATGCAGCTTCTGCTCATAAATACACTAGAGATTCTACAAGTAACAACATATCATCTTTACAGATTCTCATTATTCAAGTCCATAAGCACACTAGAGAGTCTTTTCACCTCCTCCAGACTTTCGAGTAAAATTCCTAACACTTACCATTGGTCTATTCTAATATTCCTTTGGTTGTCAACCTGAAATGAGTTATATTTATATTTGTTTATATGCATGGCTATCTTCATGAAAGAAAGAAGTCAATGCATGTTTAGTTACTAAATATAATTAAGTGAATATGCATTCATCTTCAACTCCTATTTATATTTACACAAATTAATTGCCCAATATGTTGGTCATATGTTATATCATATTGCTCATTTGCTCTTCTAAAATAAAGTCTTGCTTCGACTACAGAGCCAAGATTTTGCAACACCTCGCAGTAGAAGAGCATAGATAAAGTAGGAAAAGGAGAGTTTTTTGGAGCTATTTGATTACGGAGGAAATAAAAACTGACCATGAGAACAATATTCTGACCATGTAGGAGAGAAAAACTGACCATGACAACAATATTTCTGACCATGCCAGCATAAACAACAACAAGAAGTCTAAGAAATAAGAAAGTGGTAGGCCTGTTAGCCAGTAACAGTGCTCCCATATAGAAATTAGAAAAATGCCTATAGAGGTATCCCATTCAAATTAAGTTGGATAATTTTCACTTGGCTTGTAAGAACTACAAAGTCAATTGAAGAATGAAGAATAGTAAAAAGAGCTCCCATAGCTGCTCCTTCCAATCTCCATGTAGTGTAAACCAAGAAAAACTGATTAGAGGTTTCCGTTGGGTCATTTCATGTCAAGATATTTTATACAAACTATGCAGTGGAGAAGATGAGTTGTCAGAAAAAAACTGGTGTCACTTGTCGGGACATTCCAATGGAGGAAGCAACAATAGCAAGCCATCAAACCTTACTTTCAAATCACAATAGATATTTTTCTAGAGGTCATCCACCTTTACCTTCATTTTCACTACTATCTGTAATCCACTATTTGCTCATAAAATCATAAAGCCCAACATAATTTTCACCCTCTATCCATGTCATTTTTGCCTTCCGTGACTCCTCTTTGTGTCTCCAACATTCCAAAACTTCACTCAACATACATGAAAACCTAATTCTCAATAATAAATGTGCCTGAACCAACTTATAACCTTTGATCACCAAACAGAAAAAGGGCCTTCAAGAAAACAATGAATGGTAAACTTTCAACTTGCCATGGGTAATGTTGTCTTTGGTTTGGCTGGACAAAAGTGACGATGCAAGGACAGCAAATCTTCTTTCCTGATGAAAAAACATGCATGATCAACCATGCATCAATATCTACCATCATCATTACCCTTCATTCTCAATATGTTAGGGGTCAGTCACATGAAACATTACAGCATCAATGAAGTTTCTGTTTTTTTTAAAGAAGCACCAAATGAAGTTTCTAAAACTATTTAACTACTAATTTATGCAAAAGAAAGCATAGTGACAAAGTTTTACGTCAGATGCTCTTCTAATGTGAACATGCACATGAAGGGATTGTGAGACATTTCAAATTGTCATCACTAGTAATCTTATGTTTTTTCCACTTGCAAGGAAAATATCATACGCCAACGATTAGGTAGATAGTTATTATTCGCATATGTCATTATAAGATTAATATTGTAAAATCAAGAGGGGTATCATAGAGTAGTTCGAAATGCACTTCAAAAAACCAATATGTCAAGAATTTGAATCTCAAATACTCGAATATAAGGAGGGTACTACCATGTCTATCAAGAAAAGCTTAATAATCAAAATAAAAAGGGTAACAAACGAGAATCCTAAACACTAGACTGAAACCAAGTTTGTTAAACTCGAGATCTTAGCACGGATAAGAAGGGGTCTAAAAGATCATGACTCGTGGATCGCAAGATCCTAGAAACAAAACTACCATGGTATACACACACACAAATATTTAAAAATGTTTCAAACACCAAATTAATATTAATAATAATAACATAATGTCAGGACATAACTCACTCAAGGTTATAAAATAAAGCACTTAACATAAAAAGTTCAAGGATAATTTGCAAAACATTTGACATAACAGAATGACATCTTCACATAAAATCATGCGAGCTAAAATGATCATCTATCATGGTGCTCCTAAACATCAATTATGTGCTCCTCATCATCAACATCCAAATCAGAGCCATCATCATTATCATCTACAATTCACTCATCATCAAAAGAAAGATCGGCAATACTATAATCATTTCCCCTTCTCTTCCGCTTGTTAGTGTTCAATCTTAAATTAGCCATTACGAAGACAACATCATTCGTCGTTAATTGCTTCCAACGATTTCTTCTTTTCGTGTCATCCATCTGAAATGCACTCCAATTACGTTCAGAACCAAATGAACTACATGTCAAACTCAACACCCGCATGGCAAATTTCTGAAGCTCCAAATGCCCACCACCATATGATTCCCACCATTGGGCTAGTGTTTTAGTTTTTAGTCCTTGTGCAGCTATTGCACTTAAAAAAACTTTCTACTTTTGAAGTCCTCGAATTGAGCATCAATCTTACCAATTTGTTCGATATCTTCAAGTCTCCATTTTGGCCTTTATTAGAAATCTCCCGCTTCTTCTATAGTCCGCTTTACTAAAGCCACTTAACTAGAGTGGTTATTAGTTATTTTGACTTCTGATAGCATAAGTATGGCAAGTGGGTCAAGAGCAAACAAAAAAGTGTTGGGCAGAGAATCGATGTTGGCTAGGAGCATGGTACATCCATGAGTGAAGATAACTGAACAATCAAGTGCAAGTATTGTGAGAAAGTCTTTACTGGAGATGACGATAATTTGAAGCATCATTTAGCCGGAACAAATAAAGACGTGGCACCATGTAAAAGTGTGAGCGACGAAATTCGGAAAGAAATGATGGATATTGTATTTAACCTACAAAAAAAATCAAATATCAAGGGTTCAAGAAGAAGGAGACGATCATGAGAAAAGATGAAGAGTTGAAGAGATGAATGATCCCGCTAATATCTCAAGAGAAGAGGGAGTACTCAAATAACCATGAATAATATATTCAAGAAGAACATACGGGAAGAAGCATGTGAGGCAATTTCTTTATTTATTTTTTATGTTGCCAACAGCCCCGAGTTTAAGAAAAATGTTTGATCTCTTTGCTCAACATGGGCCCGGATTCAAACCCCTATCATATCATGAAATAAGGGTGAAGTATTTAAAGAAGCAAGTTGAGAAAACTAATCAAATAGTGGAGGAGCACAAAGCTTAATGGAGAAAGACGGGATGCACTATCATGGCGGATGAATGGACTGATACGAGGAAGAGGACACTGGTGATTTCTTGGTGAAGTCCTATAGGTACTGTTTTTTAAGATCCATTAATCCATTGAAAAGATGTTGGATAATGTTGTTGAAGAGATTGGGGAGAAAAATGTTGTTCAAGTTGTAACAGATAATGCTGCAAATTATGAGGTTGCGGGAAATCTCTTGATGGCGAAGAGGAAGAATATGTATCAGATGCAATGCGCTGTTCATGGTATCGATTTGATGTTGGAAGATTTTGAGAAGAAACTTCCATTCCATCAAGAGACGATTGTTGCGGGGAAGAAGATCATGACTTCTATTTATTCTTGCACGAGTCTTGTATGTTTATTGCATAAATTTATCAAAGGCGGTGAATTGATAAGACCTGACATGACTCGTTTTGCCACGTCATACATGACATTGTGTTGTTGGCATGACAATAAGGGATCATCAATACGTATGGTTGCATCTGATGAGTGGAAATCTAGTCCATTTTCAAAGACTAGCGATGGCAAGTTAGTGGAGGATTTAACATTCGATAAAGAGTTTTGGAAAATATTCTGAATTGCTTGGGGGTATCCACTAATTAAAGTGTTACGTTTAGTGGATTCTGATGAAAAGCCAGGTATGGGTTCATTTACGAAGAAATGGATCACACAAAAGAGGATATTCAAAAAGATTTCAAAGGTTTCTCAAGGAGGAAAATTACTAAGTACCTTCTTAGTCTATAATTTACTAATAAAAAAATATAAATTTCTAACAACTATTTTTTATAGCTATATGCCGTTGTGGAATATCATTGATGAAAGGTGGGACAATCAATTGCATAGGCCACTTCATGCAGCAGGATACTATTTGAATTCCATGATGCATTATAGCCCTAATTTCAAAGTTGATTATGAAGTGGCAAGGGGGTTGTATGATTACTTAGGAAGGTTGGTGGGAGATACTCAAGAAATCTGCAAGATTAATGCTAAACTTGAGGACTTCAAAAGAGAACAGGGTTTCTTGGAAGTGCAATAATTGCACAAAGACTTAAAACCAAAACTTCAGCCCAATGGTGGGAATCATATGGTGATGAGCATCCTGAACTCCAGAAGTTTGTCATTCGGGTGTTGAGTTTGATTTATAGTTCATTTGGTTGTGAACGGAATTAGACTGCTTTCAAATGGTCCACACAAAAAGAAGAAATTGTTTGAAGCAAAAGACAATGAATGACGTTTTCGTAATAGCTAATTCACGATCGAGCACAAATAAGCGAAAGAGAAGAAGGGATGATTACAGTTTTGATGATCTTGGTTCTGATGATGAGTGGATTGTGGATGATAATGATGATGGCAATGACTTTGATGGTGATGATGCTGAGGAGCACACACTTGATGTTAAGGAAATTGCTCAAACTAGTGGTGGTCTTGGTGCTACAACAAGTGATGATTTACTACTTCCTCTTATTGAAGATGAAGATACCATTATGGATAATTTTATATGAATATTTTGTTTTTTTATGTCAAACGTTTTGCAATTTATCTTTGCATGGTAGGATCTTACAATTCGAGTTATGAACTCCTACCCCTGTCCCATCCGTGCTAAGATCTCGAGTATAACAACCTTGATTCACCAAGAAATTCACTAATGTCATCTTCCTCGTATCCGTCCATTCATCCACCATGATTGTGCAACCTGTCTTTTTTCATGATGTTTTGTGCTTTTTCATTATTTGAGGAGTTTTCTCAACATGTTTCATCAAATATTTCAACCCTTATTTCATGATATGACGGTGATTTGAATCCAGAGCCATGTTGGGCAACAAGGTTAAACATTTTCTTCAACTCCAAACTGTTGTATAACATTAAAAAGGATAAAATTGTTGTAGAAAAATAAAGAAATTCCATTGCATACTTCTTCTGGGATGTTCTTCTTGAGTATAGTATTCATCATCGTTTGAGTGCTCCCTCTTCTCTTGATGATATTAGTAGGATCATTCGTCTCCTCTTCTCTTTCCCGTTTTTCATGATCATCTCCTCTATCTTGGAACCCCTTGATATTTGATTGTTTTCGTAAGTTGAACACAATATTCAACATTTCTTTTCAGATAATGCAGCATATTACAAGGTTGCGCCAGACCTCTTGATGGAGAAAAAGAAGTTGTGTTGGACGTACTTTGTATAATTTTATAATGTATTTTTTGTCGTTATATGCCATTGTGGGAAATCACGGATGAAAGGTGGGACAACCAATTTTGCATAGGCCATTACATGCACCCAGATATTATCTCAACCTCATGATGCATTACAACGCTAATTTCAAAGTTGATTATGAAGTTCAAAAGAGGTTGTATGACTACATAGAGAGGCTTGTGAGTGGTTTTGAAGAGATTGGTAAAATCGATGATCAGCTTGAGGACTTCAAAAGTAAAAAGGTTTCTTTTAGAAGTGCAATAATTGCACAAGGACTTGAACAAAAACATTATCCGAATGGTGAGAATCATATGGTGAAGCGAATTGGGAACTTCAAAAATTTGTCATTCACGTGTTGCGTTTGACATGTAGTTCATCTGGTTGCGAACGTAATTGGAGTCCAATTCAGATGTTTCACACGAATGAAAGAAATTATTTGAAGCCAAAAACGATTGCTATTGTCTTCGCAATGGCTAAATTAAGATTAAACACTAACAAGGAAAAGAGAAGAGGAAATGATTATAGTATTGACGATCTTGTTTATGATGAGTAGATTGTAGATGAAAATGATGGTGACACTAATTTGAATGTTGATGATGAAGACCGCATAATTGATGTTGAGGAAGGTCCAAATAGTGGCGGTTTTGGTGGGGAAACAAGTGATGATTGAGTGATTCCACCTATCGTCTATTAGAGATGAAGATACCATGATAGATGATCATTTCAACCCACATGATTTTATGCAAAGATGTCATTTCATTATGTCAAATGTTTTGCAAATTATCTTTGAACTTTTATGTTAAGTGCTTTATTTTATAACATTGAGTGAGTTGTGTTTTGACACTATGTTATTATTATTATTAACTCAGGTATTTAAATATTCTTTAATATAAGTGTGTGTAGCATGGTAGTTTTGTTTCTAAGATCTTACAATCCGAGTTGCGGTCTTTTAGACCCTTGGATCTCAAGTTTAACAACCTTGGTTTCGGGTGAAGAGTGACCGGACTACTCCCTTTAGCCAAATTTACTACTCAACTAAGGTAGTGTAGGACTCTTGATGGAGTGGGAACCAGTACAAGTAATGAAAGGTTATCTAACATCAGGACTGACTAGAAAAGACCCAAGACCTAGATAGACAAAATAGAGCCCAAAAAGTTATTTGATAAGGCAAAACCTGGGACCTCGATAGACAAATCCAAGGAAGACCCAGGATGCCAACCTCACGGGCTAAGTAGTTAAATCGTTATTCGGTAGCAACTCAATCAAGGGCTGAGTAGCGAGTAGGACCAAGTACTCGGGATTACTCAGTGATTACTCGACCCTATATTAATTAATTTTATAAATATAAATGTCTGAAATATAGTAATATATTATCCTTATAACTATTAGATATGAAAATAATAATAATAATAATAATAATGAAGAAGAAGAAGAAGAAACGAGAAAGAAGATAGAGGAGAATAAGTTACGAAGAGGTAAGGAAACACTGCTGGAATGAGCCGATGTCTGAAATACTTTTAAATCTAGACTTTTTAAGGTTAATTTCCATTATTTTTAAATACCCACTCGTTATTTATATATTCCATAATATCCATCTTTAATTAAAACTTAGAAAACTTAACAAATCAATAAATATTTTATGATCGGCCGAGTAACTCGCCAAGTGAAAAAAATTCTCGAGTCAAGAAACTCGCAGAGTAACTCGAAATAACAGGGTGGGCCGAGTCAGGTTTCTAAATGGAACATTCACTCCCCAAGTTGCGAGTACTCACCGAGTAGACAACACAGCTCACGGGTTCAAGCCGGGACAGACGACCTGGCAGGAAGACTTTGGAGCGCCGACCTCATGGGGTCACCCAGGATTATTGTCGGGGTGGCTGGGCAGCCTGGCAAACGGGCCCGGGCAGAAGCGTTTATATGTCGATTACGACCGCCTGGCCTTTTTTACTATACGGAAACACGGACAGTCGTAGCTTTTTTTTGGACGAACAACGGAGACTTCAAGTAGGTGTCCTATCCATGCATAGAAGCATGGTAAATGTTTCTGTATTGAATACTCTGAAATGCTTTAAATTTTAAGAAAAATAAGAAATTTCTCAATTTTTCAGGCCATCGTTGTGATTTTAAAAAAACGGACACTTGTATTCCAAAGAGATATGAGTGTTTGAAAGTGTTAGTAAGTGTTAGTACGGGCCCAAAAGGGAAGGGAAGTGCAAGTGTTAGACATAATTTTACCTTGTTTGGGAGAGTCAAATGAATGAAGTGTTAATAATGGAAGTGTTAATAATGGAAGTGTTAATAATTTTACCTTGAGCCAGAAGAAACGAGTAAGGAGAAGAGATGAAAAAGGCAGACCATCAGACCTGCGGCAAAGAGATTCGAAGTGAGATGTCGAAGCATTTTATGTTTTTAGGGTAAATGAGAAAGGTAATAATTGTCCAACACCTCAAAACACTCCAAATCGGGGTGTTAAAAAAGTGGACAATTGAGGTGTTGGGAAGGTTATTATTAACACTTCCTAACCTTTACTAACACTTCTTAACACCTCTTAATTTTTCTCCCAAACAAGTGTTAGTATCGACACTTACTAACACTTCCATTACTAACACTCCCTAACACTCAATCCAAACAGGCCATTAGACGGCTTTTATGGACATAAATCTTTATTGATGAATGTTTTAAATTTGAAATTATGCATGCTAGACAAAACTTCACGTTAAAAACCCAGAAAACACTAGTACACTACTAAGTTAAATGCAAACCAAAAATAATTAACACAACTAGCCATAATTACTTTTGTAAATATTATGATGTATGCACAATTAAAGGAATAACTAAGAGGAATCATGCTTGTCACGGCATCGACGACTAGGCGTCGCCTAGGCGCCGACTAGGCGTCCAGGCGTCGGAGAGTGCTCGTCGGGTAACCTCACCTCGCCGGAAGAAGAATAGTCAAGGTTGGCGTCATCCGGGCGTCGTCCAGGCGTGAAGTTAGCGACAAATCGCCGCCTAGTTTTGCCCAGTCGAAAATCCGTCCACGTTCCGCAGGTCCAAAAATGAGTAGATTAAGGTTTAATTTAAGACTTTAGGCTTTTAATTAAAAACAAAGCCCAAATCTAACTCAAGAAGCAGAGTCGTAGAGAACAACTCACACGACCAGACACAACGACGAACCGTAGAACTTCAGGAAGCAGAAGAAGTAGCCGGTCTCTTCGGTCGCCACCCCCCTAGTCCGTAGTTGAAGGCTTGAAGTAGAAGACCAGAAACAGGTCCACCGATCCACCGATCTGTTATTCGCTTCTCATGTAGCGATGCAGTGGAATTAGTTTTTTAATATTTTAATTAATTAAGTGGTATATATCATGCTTGTCACGGCGTCCGTAGTTGAAGGCTTGAAGTAGAAGACCAGAAACAGGTCCACCGATCTGTTATTCACTTCTCGTGTAGCGGTGCAGTGGATTTAGTTTTTTAATATTTTAATTAATTAAGTGGTATATATCATGCTTGTCACGGCGTCGACTAGGCGCCGACTAGGCGTCCAGGCGTCGGAGAGTGCTCGTCGGGTAACCTCACCTCGCCGGAAGAAGAATAGTCAAGGTTGGCGTCATCCAGACGTCATCCAGGCGTGAAGTTAGCGACAAGTCGCCGCCTAGTTTTGCCCAGTCGAAAAGCCGTCCGCGTTCCGCAGGCCCAAAAAATGAGTAGATTAAGGTTTAATTCAAGACTTTAGGCTTTTAATTAAAAACAAAGCCCAAATCTAACTCAAGAAGCAGAGTTGTAGAGAACAACTCACAGGACCAGACACAACGACGAACCGTAGAACTTCAGGAAGCAGAAGAAGTAGTCGGTCTCTCCGGTCACCACCCCCCAGTCCGTAGTTGAAGGCTTGAAGTAGAAGACCAGAAACAGGTCCACCGATCTGTTATTCGCTTCTCGTGTAGCGGTGCGGTGGATTTAGTTTTTTAATATTTTAATTAATTAAGTGGTATATAATGAGGAATGCTTGGTGTACCCCAACTTTGTACACAAAGTGTACACTGGCTGTTTACACAGGCATTTTGACAGAAAAACCTGCCCTTTTTCAAACGAATTGCAAGTGTACACAGCCAACTAAAGGGGTGTGTACAAATGGTGTACAAATTTGGGGTACCTATAGTATTTTTCAATAATTAAGACTTTTATATTTAAAAAAAAACTATATTTTTAAAAGTGTTTTTGACTTGTAATATTTAAGATACATATGTGTACCCATATCCAATATTTTCTTAGATTGTCATATCGGCATATTCTTATGTCTTTATCCACGTTTTCACATATCCGTGTTACATACATATTGCGTACTAGGTGTAGTAGAATTATATATAAATAGATTTCAATTTTCTTCAATTATGGTTTAAGTTTCCTATTCATATTGGGTTTTGGGTCCGTTAATTTTGTGTGCATTTTAGTGCTTTAAAATATACTACGTATATAGTTGCAAGTTAAAAGTCACCATAAAAAAATTAGTCATTTAATATTTAATATATGTATGAATTATAAATAAAGTATGTTTGATAGCACAACTTTAGCGACTTAGTGCATACATCTTAAGATTTGACTTTAGTTAGTTGCCCATATTTAGATATACACAAATGTGTGTAGGATCTTTTCTCTATTCAATAACATAAAAAATTATTCATCGGTCTCTCATGTTTAGAAAAACAATCACTGAAGCATTATTAAAGATAGAAAAACAACCTGATGTAGTCTTTTTATAAAACTCAAAAATGCAAATTAAATTAAATCTAAATACATTTATATACCACATGCAACAAAACGTAATAGATAGTTGTCATGTATACGGATTATAACCTTAGGAGGAAGAGAACTTCCAGCTTTCTCACACCCCATGGAGTCCACAGGAGCATTTTCTAAAGACCTCATTTTGCGGATTCCTTCAAGGACTTTTTCCCAGTTGGAAGGTGGTTGCACTGTATCAAGTTATCAACTGTCAACTATCAAGTAAATGGAACTTTAAGTTTTTCCTAGTTAAGGGGGTTTGTTAAGGCATTATTGACAAAGTAAAATGCGCGTGAGCAAAAGAATGCGCATTTAAACATAAATTGTGTGTGCGCTACTGCGCGTGTGCTGATACAGGTACTCAAGTGAGATGTGGGATGTGTGCAGTGTGAGTGTATATGGGGACGTGTCTAGATGTGTGTATCTGTAATTTGTTGTTCCACTTTGTGCAAGAGAATGAAACGTTCTCATTCTAATATTTAGGATGCCAAACACATACAAATACAAAAAGAGGATGGTTAAGTCAGAGCCTCAGAGCATGGCTGAGGACACAATGTATTACTCCATTTATCCCAAAATAAACTCTAATTTAATTATGAATGCTTCTAATGATTATGATTACTTGGAGCATATAGAGGCACCCTAGGCGAACATGTAAGACAAGACCAAGAACGTAAAAGAATTATCCCGGGTTTAACAGTGATCACCAGTCAGCCCAACTGCCATGTCACCTTCACCAACCAGCAATGAAAATTGCAAACAACGAGCAGCAAGCAGCAGCCCAATTCAAGAGTGAGCAAAATGCACAGCAGCAGAGAACTACAAAATGGGATGTTTCTGAGAAGGCATTGTTTCAAAGCACCAGGCAGAGAGAGGAATGGCTATATGGGACAGTTTCCCCATTACAATCCCTCCAAATCAGATAATCACATGCAGATTCTAAAATAGTTGCATTTCATTCACCCGCATTTTAATCCACTGATGCACCTTTTGCCACCAGATCTGCATCTAGGCTCTTCCCTTCGTAACCCGCAGAAAAAATAAAGTGCATGGTGCTGGGAACAATACCGTTTTTATAAGCAGAAACTTCAAACTAGCATAAATAAATATTCAGCCTTTGTGCATCAATGTCTGCTTAACCAAATCGTACGTGTGAAATAGAATGGAAACTTTTGAAGTGAGGTAAAGACGTATAGAGGTGAGTATGAGCGTTGTCAAATTCTCAGGGATGGCACTATTGGTTAAGAATTGATTGTGAAAGTGACAAATACTAGCTAAATTGTGTGCATTGAAGCTAAATTGATCAGATGGATACGAAATGATTTAGAAAATAGGTTAAATGAAAAACTAAACTGAACGAAGGGTGAAATAAAAAAATAAGTAAAAAGGAGGGTTCGGGTGTCATGAAGTGCACATACAATATACTACTGTCGTGTCGGTATACTACTATTGCCCTAATAAATGTGACAAAAACAATCAAAATCATGATCATGGAATGTGAGAGATACACCGACATTAGGAATCTGATAAACTTGACATTTAGTTTAGAAACTTGATGTTTGTATTTATTTAGAAATGAAACAAATAACAGCATAATTCTTTCCTTGAAGGAAATGAGAAGTTTAATTTGGGACAACCAAAGAAAGTAATTGAGCAGTTTATTTAAGAACGGATTGAGTAATTAATTTTTATCCATCATTGGCCAAATAATGAAGGAAGCTGCTTTTCTTGACTTTACCGAGAAATAGAAGGATATTTGCGACTCACTGCCATGGCCGACTGATACTAAATTCCCCTAGCTGGCTAGTCCCTAAACGGCTAAACCCCTGAGTTCATCTCTCGTAAGTCCTTGAAGTCTAGGCCCAGTCAGTAGTCTCCCAGACATCAAAAGTCCCTACTCCTTGGTAGTTTATGTGGACCCATGTGCATAAGGATATGCTACCAAAATGAAATATAAGGCAAGAACAAGATGTAAAATAGAAACGCAATCTCCTCCCCCCCCCCCCCCCACCAAATCAAAGAAAGCACATTTGTGGAAAAGGAAAAACGGTCAACTGGTGTGCAATTATTATGAAACATTTTCACTGATTCACACTATTTCACTGTTTAAAAGAAAAAGCATTCAAATTCAAACTTCATGCCATTCTACTTCATTGAAATCTGAAGAAACGTTATATTTTAGCAAGAATACCTGTTTGGCTTATTGAGGACAGAACTTCCTTCCGAATCATGTGTTCACTTGAGAGAGGTACTGCACAAACAGCCCACCAGTAAGAATGATATTACAAATGAACCACATCAAAGGGGTATGCACTTTAAAAACCAAAATCACAAAACCTAAGTAAGTTCAAAACAACATGAGTATCAGGTCACATTCTCAATACAACACATGAATTACAATGAGTATTTTGTATGGTGCTTACTTATTTAGGATTACAATTTACGGAAGAAAAGTTACTGCTACAATATTAGCCTATGTCGGATCTAATGCATACAGATCTATGTAGATAAACTAGAAGAGACGTAGTGATTTTGTATTGCTCTCTTTATAAGCCCTGAACAATACATATGCTCAACTAAACAACTTCTTAGGAAAGAAAATAAAACCATTGCTCCCATCAAAGTTATCACAAGTTCTCCATTATTCCAACTATCCAGCATTAGCGCCTTTAGACTTACAAGCTACAACTTTTGATGATAACTTATTATGAAAAGAAGGGTATGTTACAAAATGTGCGACTATGCACATTATTATATATTGAGTACATATCTAGTCGAACAAGCTGAACTAAAAAAGAAAGGCTGATATTGTGGAGCTGGGATCATCAGAAATTAATTTGCTTCAATTCTCAAATGGCCTATCTAGTATTATGTGCCAACTAAAAAGTAGTTTCTTTAGAGATGGCGCTTCGTTCATCCTGAAGAAACTGGGTAGTGTATAGAAAGCTAATAATTCATTCATTAATTATTTCCTACGTAGTTTTATCTTTCATAAAGAGAAAGAACAATCCGTTGATAACAATAACCCTGTAGAAGGGGCCGAAAAAGATTTCGTGGAATACTTTTAATTACATTGATGTAAAGGACTGCGTGACTGAACATGGACGTTCTCACTTCTATAAGAAAAATCCTCGATATCAGGAAGCCCGATAACCTGTAGAAAGCTTAAATGAGAACTTGAGGTAATACCGAACTAGTTCTAGACCAATAGCTTCAGAAAAATGAACGCCTGTGGAACACATTAATGCAGGGCATACTTTTTTATTAGAAGATTCTTTCTCAGGAACTTCGGCAGAAACTTCCACTGCTTTCTTGGCTTTTTTTCTCCTGATATATACCCGAGCATCCGGTGCAGAATCCTCACTATGATTTCCCCGAGAACCTGAAATTGGACATGAAAACCCCAAACTTTTCGATTCGGGACATCAAAAGTGGAAGAAAACTGACCTGGGCTAGTGTTGGAAGGTGTTCCAGACATTTTGCTGAAGAAGACGATTCTCCCTTGAGCACCGGGAAAAAGCGCATATGTCGGTCGGAGAAAAGCAAGAGGCGTTTTAAACCGCTGAAGCGATTGTTCCATTATGGACTTCTGTCATGACTCGTCACATTCTATCTTGTGACATTCTAAGACAAACATTAAGGGCCAATTTGTTATGAGGTAAAGGAAACACTTTGCGTGCAAAGTGTGGGGATGTAATCATTTTACACCGTTTGTTTTAATTGTTTAATGTAAACTGTAGGATATTTTTTTAAAAACATTTTACACTGTACCATGTGAAATATTTTATGTGGGGAGAGGGTAGTAAACTAGTTTACATCCGTTAATAAGGCTTAATAACTACGATAGTGCATCTAATTACATAACAATTGAACATAGGCGGCCTTTGAAGAGTGTGACGGCAAGCAAAATTCTTTCCGGCAAGAGAATCACATCATCAAATCTCTTTCTCCATCTGTATTGCTCTAGCGTCTACACCCGTCGTTCCAAGAGAAAAGTTTCTGCACAATTTATTCTCCATACATATATTTGAAGATTTGATATTTTGATTTAAGTTATTAGTTCAATTTTGATGCTAGATTCACATATGGCAGGCGCCGTTTAGTTTTTTACTAGTCTAGGCTCTTCTATTTATTAGGTAGAAAACTTCGTTGAGATCCAGTTTCAGAGCTCAATTATCTGGTAGTAATTGACTGTTTTTTATGCCTTCTAGCCAGATCGGCACTTTGGGTTTTTTATTTTTCTTGATTGTGATAATTAAGCTGTTTTAATTTGTGTAATTTAAAGACAGATTACATAGATAGCCAAACCATGTATTTATAGTTTACATGCAAACTAATTACAACCCTACACTTTACGTGCAATCATTTTGCATGCAATGTTTTAATGTGTAAACTACCAAACGGGCCCTAAAGGGAAAATGTACAAAATGGTGAAGGAAATCCTTTCTATCACGTAAAAGGGAAAATGTATTAGGGTTTTTCTATTTAAATGATGTATTATGGGTCTATTGGTTCATACTTGTAAATCCTACTTTATCCCTATTTATAGGGGTTTTCTTTAATGAAACTGGACTAATCATTCTCCCTACAACACATTATTTGTTTGTTTAATCCATACTAATTCAAAAGGGGGCCTCTGCTTTTGAAAATTGAATTCTACGTATATGCTAAATCTGCCTCACAATTTTTTTTCTATAAAAGAAAAAAGGGTTTTCCTGCCTTCTTGTAAATTAACAATGACTCTCACTTCATATAGGTATGAAATTTACGCATTTCATACATTTTGTTTAGTAAGGCACTCATAATGGAAACAAAAGTTTAATATTGTACTGTACTTAGTGCTTACATATGTGCATGTGTATGTTTATATGGTGATGTATTCACATATTTTGATTGCTTGATGTGTATAAGTATCATGATTTTTATAGAACTCTAAAATGAATGCTTATCTCAAGAGAGCATGTAAAATATAAATTCTGCCTACTATGATCCTTTAATGCAAAAATCTAGTCTGTATTTTAGTAAAATTAGAATCTGGAGGTAGTCATTTTTACTACTTATCCAACAAACTTGAAAATTTGATGTATTAGACTCAAATGTACTTGAGCATCATCATTCATAATATTGAAACCAATATTTATAATGACGATTAAAAGATCAAGAAATGTCAAAAAATGTGAGTATTTTAACTTTAAATACTTAGATTCAGAAAGCAATCAATAATGACTATGACATTTTATCTCAATAAGAATTTATTGGAACAAACTATAATTTTTCTCTAAAAACTTGTCAATGATTTGATCAATAACGATCAGGAGCATATTACTATCATATTTGTTTTGTGTGAAAAGTAAATCACAATAGCTTCTTTGATACTAAGAAAATTTTCATTTTTTATGCACATCATTACACTTGTACTAAAGAACTTGTACAGAGTAAATAATGTCATTAACACTAAGTTTATAATTACACTGGCACATGTTAATAACTTATGTATTTTCTTTTAACGTGTATAGTGACATACAAAAAAAATCCTTGGATAAAGAAACTTTCTAGGAATATCTATGGTGATATAAATATTGGACGAATTAATTCGTTGTACACCCATTGGTTGAAAGCAACAAAAAACCTCTGAAGAACAAGAGATTCACTCTTTACTTGATGAGAGATTGTATATGGATTTAATCTTATGGCAGTTTTCTATGATGGGAATATGAACTTTCCCTTGAAAATGGATTTCCCATGCATTTGATATTATATACCAAGTATTTCTTTTTAGCTTTTTTTAATAGTAGCTTTGCTAATATTGAACAAAAAAAATTATATCTCTCGTCTTAAAGTTTAATATGAATGCTATCTATTCATATGAGGTTTATATTAATTTAACTATCTCATTAATTTATCTCAAGACATAATTTGAGAGATTTGCGCATCTTGATTAAATGGATCCCTGTGTGCTTGTTAAAACCAATGAGTACAAAGAAACACATGCATGAAATAATAGGATGATACGTACCTTATTCAACTTGAGATAGCACTCTAAAGTATATGGGTGACATTTACAAATTGTTACAATCTATAACAAATAAGTGTTTTAATCAATTGTGTCATACACAATAAATTAAGGAATGTATATTTATTGACGTAATTCCTTATTTTCATTTATGACTGATTAAGGGTGATGTACTGCCTAAATATTCCATATCTAATTGAATAGAGTTGTACGCCTAACCTATAAATGCATCTAGAAGTTAGCAAAGTTTATTACATTCTAAATTTGTTCATCACAATGGTTTTCACATAGAATGAAACCATATCGTGGGTTCAAGTTTTGAGAGTGGTCTTTTGTCAAAGTAACAAGAGTTGCCTTATTCACCTTCGTGTGGCTTCCTCAAACCCTCATACTGTGGGGACATCAATGTTCACCGAGCTACCCTCAATTGATTTTTCACATACAAACTCACTATACAAATGAGATAGAAAATATTATATTACATATGGTAAATGCAAAAGAAAATGCATATTTGAGATGTTAATGAGTCATAATGTCATTGCCTCACATGGACTTTGAAATAACTCACTCAGTTTATCAATAATTTGACTAAAGATACATTTGGATCCAACACAATGTAATTTGTTGGTCTTAGTATTGATAAATGGAAAATTAATATCCATCGTCTAAAGTGTGAGAAGAAATATTCATTTTTTATGTCTTAAAAATATTCAGTTGTATCTCAAAGTTTGCTCCTTGGCAATAATAACATCGAAACTTGCCTATGTCATAGACATAAAATTTACAAATCTCATTTCTAATACAATGTGACACATGAGAATTTAGCTACCAAAAATGCGGGTCATTTAAGTAATTATGGTTTGGTGGAAATATCTCCATGCTATCTATTTTTTTGTTACATAAAAATGTTGCGTTCGCAAAACTTCTAGCAAAAATTATTCAAGGGCCCACCACCCGACCAATCAAGTCTATGACTTGTTACTCCTAGACAGTTCTCATCTAAAGACTTGATGAGTATTGCATATTTGTCGAGATTATTGAAAAATATCTTGCATCCCAGGTGAAAAATAAGATATCAGTAAAACTCACATCTAAAAGAATGTTGATGGTGAATATTATATCTATTATGCATGCACTAATATTTATATATATATATATATGTGTGTGTGTGTGTGTGTATTATGGGATTATACAATATTGCAAGGACTCTTACACATTTTTTTAGACCGATAGTAGACAACTACTTTTATGTATGCCAATAAGTGATTGGATCTTAGCCTGAGATGTTCTACATATTCATTATACATGGTTGTCAACTAATTGTGTCCAGTGCGCCTACCATAGTGCACTGTAATTGGTCTTAAGAAACAAATGATTTTTTGGTGTTGGATACGAATCTCCAACAATAACCCGATATTAGCCTTAACAGATAATGTGTGCACCGCTTCTGCGGAATATGACTTTGATGAGACAATTGATTTTCTTGTCATTAGGGGGAGATTAGAAAAAGAACTCTCTAATTGAATGACAAAATCATTATGATGGTACATCACTACTTTGTCTCAATTATAAATCTTAGACTTCAAAATGTAACATTGCAGTTAAAGTGTTTATCAATTATCATAAATGATTTAAGCAATCAGGTTATACACACTAGCTCAAAAATATTTACAAGGCTTGAATTTAAATTAAAAGACACACTGTTAAAGGATGAAGCATTGCAATCACAAGCAGTTGGGTTGTGGTTGAGGACATGGCTCTCTAAAGGTATAGAGGGAAGCCACATGGTTCGATTAATTATCCACCCCAAGTACTAGAGGGTAGATAAGGCACAAACCAATATACTCGTCATCATTTGAATTCCTCTCACGAGACTATCTCTAACTAAATATGTCCATGAATCAATAATGGAAGATGCCCCGAAGTTTAAATGATTTCAGAGAATTAAAATCTCAATGTTAATGAGAGTGTGTATGAGTCGAATGATAGACCTTACACTTATACTGACGATATATTTATACGTACAGTTGCTCAAAGGAGCATAGAGCATGATGATATCGAACCATACTCTATTGCAATATGAAAGCAATGAGAATATTGGCCTAAATGTGTACAAGTAATTCAGGTATAAATTTAATATTTCACAAAGAGAGAGGTATTTGGTATGATAATGTTAATCAACCAAGTGTAAAGCCTGTAGGTAATGAAATAATTCTTTGTTAGAAAGTGTACTGAGACAATGAGGTCCTAATTATTTTCACAAACGCCCTGGATTCAAATATGAAAAGTTATACTTCTCTATTTTGAACACAAAAATGTTCAACTACTTAATCCATAAGTAGACTCCAACGTAATGGAGACGCAACTAAAGATTGTGGATATTCAATGTCCCAATAGAATTTCATTAAAGAGATGTATATGAAGTATTTGTTATGTTTTTATTATCTTTAATCGAGTGGTTTTAATTTACATTGTATATTTACGTTGAAACGTTCACATTTGGATTAAATCAATCCAGACGAGAGTGACATACCAGTCTAAATGACCGCTTGACTGAAAAGGGATAGAAAAAGATAGATTATGCTTTCCCTCCAAGTATCGTTATATGTCGAAGATATAGACA